CTATGAGGAAGGCCGAGCGCCGAAGAATAGATTCTTTTGAACTATGGTGCTGGAGAAGACTCTTGAGAGTCCCTTGGACTGCAAGAATAAATAAATAAATAAATAAATAAATCAGTCAATCCTAAAAGAAATCAACCCTGACTGTTCCCTGGAAGGCCAGATAATGAAACTGAAGCTCAAATACTTTGGCCACCAAATGAGAAGGGCGCCCTCAATGGAGAAGAAGACCCTGATGCTGGGAAAGATTGAAGGTCCAAGAAGACGGGGACGGCAAAGGACGAGATGGTCAGACAGTGTAATTGATGCAACGAACATGAAGTTAAGCAAACTCTGGAGCACGATGGAAGACAGGAGGGCCTGGCGTGATGTGGTCCTGGGGGTCGCGAAGAGTCGGACTCGACTGTGCGACTGAAGAACAACAACAAAAATTGCTTGCTGAAACGATGGAATTTCCCATCATTTAATGTGTCACGTTAACATTTGTGCTTTGCTTCAGTTCTGGGGTTTTTAAAAAAACATTTTTTAAACATTTCTGGTTGATTCTACATTCTTAATTCCTGTCTGCATGGAGATCGCGTCAGGTGGATGACTGTGAGACCCGAGTGTGCCGCATGACGGAGTGAGCTCCCGTCTCTAGTTCCAGCTCCTGCCAACCCAGCAGTTCGAAAGCAAGAAATTGCAAGTAGATAAATAGGTACCACTCCGGTGGGAAGGATTGAAGGTCAAAGAAGACGGGGCCGGCAAAGGATGAGATGGTTGGACAGTGTCATGGATGCAACGAACATGAAATTGAGCGGGCTTCGGAGGATGGCAGGAGGGCCTGGCGTGAGCTTGTCCATGGGGTCGCGAAGAGTCGGACTCGACTGTGTGACTGAACAACAACAACAACCATGCTCCGTGCCGCTCTCGCTTCCTTTGATCATCGGGTTTTATGGTACCTTCTGCATAGATTGGAGATGCGGTGGCTCAAGTGGTTAAGACGCTGAACTGCAGGCTGTGGAAGGTCTGTAGTTCAGTAGTTTGAGATCCGAGTGTGCCACATGATGGAGTGAGCTCCCGTCTCTAGTTCCAGCTTCTGCCAACCTAGCAGTTCGAAAGCAAGAAATTGCAAGTAGATAAATACCCTGTTTCCCCGAAAATAAGACCTACCCCAAAAATAAGCCCTAGCAGGATTTCTATGTATTTGTGGTATAAGCCCTAGTGCGTCTTCTTGAGAAAAAATAAATATAAGACAGTGTCTTATTTTCGGGGAAACACGGTAGGTACCACTCCGGTGGGAAGGTAACAGCGTTCCGTGCGCCTTGGTGTTTAGTCATACCGGCCACATGACCACGGAAACATCTTCGGACAGCGCTGGCTCTTCGGCTTGGAGATGAGCACCGCAACCCTAGAGTAGGACTCGACTGGCTTTCGAGCAAGGGAACCTTTATCTTTACCTGCATAGATTTATGGCCATTCAGGGGTAACTTTGCAGTCAGTACGACGTTTGCCTCGGGTGGTATCTGAATGTGGTTTGGAGCGGCACTTTTTCCCTCCCAGTTGAGAAAGTGTGGAGCGAATGCTAGATGTAGAATCACCGAAAGTCTGAGTCCATTCTTGGCACGTTGAAGACCCACAACGTGTTATTCTGGGTATTCTTGGGATCTGAAGAAGTGTGCCTGCCCACGAAAGCTCAGACCTTGAATAAAATTTTGTTGGTCTTCAAGGTGCCAAGAGTGGACTCCAACTTTGTTCTGCGACTTCAGACCAACATGACTCCTCCCCCCCTCCTTCTTTTACTACTGTGCATTGCTTGAGAAATCAACCCTGACTGCTCCCTGGAAGGCCAGATACGGAAGCTGAAGCTCAAAGACTTTGGACACCAAATGAGAAGGGAGCACTCACTGGAGAAGACCCTGATGCTGGGAAAGACCAAAGGTAACAGAAGAAGGGGATGGCAAAGGACGAGATGGTCAGACAGTGTCATCGATGCAACGAACATGAAGTTGAGCAAACTCTGGAGCACGACGGAAGACAGGAGGGCCTGGCGTGATGTGGTCCAGGGGGTCGCGAAGAGTCGGACTCGACTGTGCGGCTGAAGAACAGCAACAAAAATTGCTTGCTGAAACTAGGATTCTGCTATGGAATTTCCCATCATTTAATGTGTCACGTTAACATTTGCGCTTCGCTTCAGTTCTGGGGTTTTTTAAAAAACATTTTTTTAAACATTTCTGGTTGATTCCACAGTCTTAATTCCTGTCTGAATGGAGATCGCGTCAGGTGGATCGCTGTGTTGGTCTGAAGCAACGGAACGAAGTCTGAGTCCAGCGGCACCTTTCAGACCTACAGAGTTTAATTCTGGGGATAAGCTTTCCTGCGTGTGCACACTTCTTCAGATACACTGAAAACAGGCTTAATTAGAGTCAAGAGGCTCATTAGAGTCAAGATGCATAAATAAGTGAGCGATAAGTATAGCTAAAATTGGATTAAAGCAGCTGGTACCTCTTTTATTATCTTCAGGTGGGTAGCCGGTGCTGGTCTGAAGCAACCAAACAAAGGCACCCCTGGACTCAAACTGTGTTCTGTTATTATCTGTGTGCTAATTTGCTGCTAGCCTACTGCTTTAATCCAATTTTAGCTATACTTATTGCTCAGCTACTTATGCATCTTGACTCAAATTAGCCCTTCCTGGCCTCCAGGGCTCTTTTTGTAGAAAAAGCCGAGCAGGAACTCATTAGCATAGTAGGCCACACCCAAGAGCAGGACCTCATTAGCATAGTAGGCCACACCCCGACAACACCGCTCATTAGCATATTAGGCTGCACCCCCATGTTACCAGAAGTGTGGTCATCCAGCCACACCCACCTTTTGCTTCTTATTCTGTTTACCTTGTTTGTTGTCAAAACCCAGGGCTTTATTGTAGCAGGAACTCCTTTGCATACACCCCTAATGTAGCCAATCCTAATGAGTTTCTGCTGTTGGGTGTGGCCTGTTATGCTAATGTGTTCCTGCTGGGTGTGGCCTACTCAGGAGCCAGCCGGAACTCCGTTCCTGTGCGTTCCTGCCCAAAAATAGGCCCTGCTGGCAACTAACTCACCATCACCACCTATATGTAATGGCTGGCGAAGTCTGTTTCAGTGTCTCTGAAGCAGTGTGCATGGACACGACAGCTGAAACCCAGAACTAAATGTTGTTGGTCTTAAAGGTGCCACTAGACTCAAACTTTGTCCTATCTGAATGGTATCTGAAGAAGTGAGCAGTGACTCAGGAAAGCTCCTAGGCAAAGGTAAAGGTTTCCCTTGCTCGAAAGCCAGTCGAATCTGACTCTGGGGGGTGGTGCTCATCTCTGTTTCCAAGCCGAAGAGCCAGCACTGTCCGAAGACTTCTCCGTGGTCATGTGGCCGGCATGACTAAACGCCAAGGCGCACAGAACACTGTTACCATCCCACCGAAGCGGCACCTAGTTATCTCCTTGCAATTTCTTGCTTTCGAACTGCTAGGTTGGCAGGAGCCGGGGCCAGGGACGGGAGCTCACTCCGTCGTGTGGCACCCGGGTCTCGAACTGAGCCACTGCAGCCCCTTAGGAAAGCTCCTCCGCTGCTCCTGGACTCTTGCTCTCTTCTGCCAATCCCTATTGCCTTGTTTACTGGATGTCCCGCCCTGTTGATTGCATCGACTTATTCTGTGTAATCAGCCTTCAGTCCCAGTGGGAAAGGCAGACTAAAGTAATTAAAATTAAAACAGAAAGGAGCTGTTGTGCAACTCTGCCCAGTGCTTTTAAAAAAACTGGACGTGCGGGGGGCCAAGAGAGCTGCCGTTTTATTTCGTTTTTTTAAAACCGCTAGACAATCCACAAAGAATGGATAGTTCAGTGGAGCCTCCACGCCCAGAGACAGT